GCTCAAGCCCCCCCCCCCACCCGCTGGCGCCGCCACTGCCTGTTCCGTAGACGTCATTCGAAGGTTGGTATAGGTAGTATATTGTTTAAAAGTCTTAATATCAATAACTGTTAAGTAATAACGCTCCATAAAACGTTAACGATATAGATCTATTTTTGTTTTATGCTCTCACGTGCCATGTACATCAAATAATGAATTTTCCAGTAGGCCTGCTTAAGTGTTACGTAAACTCAAGCTGACCTAAGGCAGCAATATACAGCAGAAGGTCCTTGGTTCGAATCCCGGTTGAGGAACCCTTATTCGCACTCGCAGATTTAACTTCTTTTTAATGCTTAAAATGTATGTATCGTTATAGCATTACCGGAAGACGGTTTAGAGTACAGTATCTCTATATATTTTCATGATTTACACCCCACCACCCCCCCCCCCACACACACACATATATAAACATATATGTATATATATATATATATATATATATATATATATATATATAGGTCTATGCGCAAACAGTATATAAGCGCCTCAATGCCTCTTTTTGTTGCTATATAACCTTAAGATTTTATAACAAAGGCGATATGAAATAATATGGATACAATAAGTATGATTCTTTGACTGATACTTGTTTAAAGAAAATAATTTGATTAAAGATGGGTATCAGTAATACTAAAATTAAACAACTGAACAATTATTTGTGTACGATGGTTTTATATTGTTTGCACGTGCTAAACTTTATGTCCGTAGCCGTTCACCACGTGGCAAACCTCCGGACTGCTGGTTGCGTGTTGGTCTTATTGTATCTGTTTTCGTTACTATGATTGCCACAAAACTTGAACGGCATACGAATACCTATTCAGACTTATATGACTACAATTACAAAGCACCATATGCTGAATAAAGCAATTAAAGGAGCAAACAATTAGGTTTACATCTAGTGTAACAACCTAGGGTAATATTTTAGAATATTCCATTGTAATCAATTATAATAAATCAATACCAAGACACAGGGTAATTTTTTAATCTAGGCTGATACAGTAATAAACAAAAATCATAAAATCGAGATACTGACATTCGCAAATTTATTTTAATTCAAGAAAAAAAATCACAAAACTTTTTAATTTAAACAGAAAAAAATGATTGATTAACAGACACTTTAAGCGTTTTGAAACGGATTTGCAATTAAAGCGGGCAGTGTAAAGCGGGCCTATGGGCCTGGATAAGCTCATTCCCATTGTAATAATGATTTATACATTTCCAACATGTTGTGTTTCCTTAAAGTCATAAATGCGTTACCGTTCTTTTATGTAATTTGATCAATTTGTTTAATTCAAAATATGTGTATAATATTAATTTAACTTCCTTTAACTTTTTTTTTTACATTTTTTTGAAGTTACTTTCTTATATTATAACTAAGCATTTAGTCAATTTTAGTTAAGTGGGTTCCAGACTTTTGTCATGGGCGACTCTGTTGCTTTTTTGGGCTCCAACCAAGGCACTAGTCTGAATAAGTGAAATATGTGCGCTGAGCCGTGGAGATCTCTAGATCCACGGTTCAATTCCCATCACTGCTCTCCTTGTGTGCACCGTCTTTTGGATGAGGCGTTAAAGCCGTTGATCCCTTGTGCATTATGACCCGTGTGCACGTTAAAGAACGCAGTTACACTCTTCGGAAAAGAGTAGAGAATTGTCTCCCGCTGTACTGCCCAATCACCACCAGAAGGACCCAACTGGAAGTAAGTCTTCTCCTAGACTTCCGTGGGTTATCCTTGGTGTTTACACCGAATAAATCAATTCCATCCATTCCATCAACATAATTTAACACTTGGGTTTTATTATTTGCAGCCGTATGTAGCCCAACCTGGTACTAATTAAACTTCCATGGAGAGAAGCAATGCAGATAAAGTGCCTTACCTAAAAACACACCCGAGCAGCCACATCCCTTCCCACAAGGACTGTACAATATCGGAGAAAACAAGTAGCCAGCCCTATCCTCGAAAAACCTCACTTCTTGATTATTTGAAACCAAGCGTTTTAGTTTATATTAAGGCGGCTGTATACCTTATGTATTCCTCTGTAATAATTGTATATCGAATTAGTAAATTACATTTTTTAGTAGGCCTAATCTAATCACAGAAGTAAATAATGTTTAAATTAACGTTTGTGGAAGAGAAGTGGTACCGAAAGGAGGGAAATAAGAAGGATGAAGCGTCAGATGGAAACAGACAAGTAAAACATGGGATAATACATAACCTATTAATTGTTTTATATACACCTATTTTTGTGCAAACACCAATTAGTGGTCTTTTGCTGTGTTTCTCATCACAGTAATCATCAATAATAATTCAATAGATAAATACAGTATAGGGTTATGGTATATTGGTCCAATGGATTAACTTAATGGCAGATTTCGACCTAACACATGGTTCATTATAGCAACATCGCTAAGGAGGCCTATATCATACCGAAGTTGCATATTAATGCGCAATAACAAGCAATAACGCAAACAGGATCACGTGCAAAAGAAAGTAACCAATCTTTCCTGATGATGACATAATTAATGTCAAAATATTGAATCCCAACACCATCTTTCTTAAATTGTAAATCTCAAATATTGATTTGTATCATCAGTTGTACGAAATTTTAATCAAGGAAAACTTATATTTAATGGTAGTTATGTCTTAACACAAACGAAGATCTCATTGCATAAATCGCTGGCCTAAGCACCTGCAAAAAAAACCTATTAAATACGATGGATTTGCGGCTGCAATTGCCAATAGCAATTAGAAAACGACTAATTAACTCTACGTTCATGGACACAATTAATTTGTATTCGCAATATGATTGGTTATAAATGAAAATAGAACTGACTTGGCATTATGATGTCAACGTCTTAAGACCACACGCCACTGATTGTCACAGGGCAACCCCTTAGTCGTGTCGTTATCTATAGCATCTATATTAATATTACTAGAAAACAAAGGACGGAAGGAACGACAGACGTTAAGCAGACAAAGTATAGACCTCTTAGCAAAAAGAAAAATAAACGCAAGACTTATTGTAATTTCATTCAATTGTATTTTGAAGACAAAGCTATAACATGATTAACCAACCATAATATGCAATACAATTAATGGCTATTGGCCAAAGTGGATTACAATTATACAAGATTTAAGTTCGATTTATAGTCGTTAAGAACTATTATACCTGCAGGTGAATATTGCGGTTTTGGGCCATACAAATATGCAGAAATATATGCATATACATATATATATATATATACATATACATATAACAGGAAAATCAGGAGTAGCTGCTTGGCAAAGTGTAGATATATATCAAATAAAACTCAGGAACAAGGTATATATTTGCCAAATTTAATACAGAAAATTCACAAACGTTTTCGGCCATAGGCCTTCATCAGGTGTACAGCATAAAAAAAGAAAAAACTATATATACAAATATAACGGACGTAAGACAAAGCAACATAAGACGTAAAGCAACGCTATAACAGAAAAAAGAAGAACAATAGCCTTAAGGGCGTATGCCAAGCTACAAGCTTGACAGCAGTCAAATAAAAACGCGGGATAATTATACTATGGTGAAAATCATAAACATATATATAAACTATATATAAGAAGAAATAAAATGTAGGCCTATGTGAATATAAAAATGAAAACGAAAAAAAAAAAAATATATATTAATACAGTTATCTGAAATTATATTTCAAAAGAATCAAACGTATTTGGCTAAATTTATTCAATAATGATATATTTCTAGTTGATGAAATATGACACCATTTAAAACTGTCTCTTATACACATCTAGATGTGTATAAGAGACAGGTCGCACCGTGAATAACACTGGCTTTTCATTATTTCACCGAACGTGTTCGCACGCTACCGTACCGTTATAATGCGTGCCAATGACAAACGTGTCATCAATTGGTGGCTAAGTTCAGTAACGCCTCACTAACTTAGGCCCTTAGGCCTACAATGGACATAAATATTCTTAAATATATTATGCAAGAGCCAACCATGTTATATTTTATATCTAATCTTATTTGTTTTAAACTTGAAGGATCCATGCGTTTTATAGTATATTATGTTTGTTCATCCACTTACGCCTTACGCAGACGATACAATTTACCAGCATCGCATCATGATAATTGTACCTGTAATGTCCGCACTTCACACGCATCACAAATATTTAAATGTGCAACATCCCCACCTGCCCCAACACAATTAGACAAATCGATGTAAAAAGGAGCAAACACCGTCCTAATAAAATATATAATCAATTATAACAAAACCTAAATCAAAAAACTTAAATCAACAGTTTTGGCTACTACATTTCTGAAACGAAATTAATTATTCACTAATCTGAAATCTTTATAATGCGCACATCACATCACGAGACTGTCACAAATAAACCTTTCCATACATTTATTCATTCATTCATGGATTTTTATTTAGACATTCAAAAACGCACACTGTAGACACAATTAAAATTATAAAATTTGCACAAGAAGAAAATATCATTAATTAATCCAGGGTTCAATCTGTACATTATTTTCCAAAGAGGAAATTCAGTCATGGTAGATAAAAAAGTAAAACATTGAAAAAGTGAATATAAAATTGTCAAAATTGTTTAAATATGTATACATAATTATATAGAACAATTACTTAACAATAATTATGAACGTATAAAAGCAATAAATACTGTCATTTTTTATATATTTCTTTTTTTTTTTTGTATTTTTGAGCCATTGTAGAGGTGTTTGTAACCTATTGTATTTTTGTAAGTGAGAAGTTTATTAAATAAAATAAGAGTAATAAATTTGTTCCTAGGCAATTGCAATAGGACATGTGTTGGTACTTATGGTATAGTCCATTTACATGATAAAGAATAAAACGTTAATACAGTTATCTGAAATTATATTTCAAAAGAATCAAACGTATTTGGCTAAATTTATTCAATAATGATATATTTCTAGTTGATGAAATATGACACCATTTAAAACTGTCTCTTATACACATCTAGATGTGTATAAGAGACAGGTCGCACCGTGAATAACACTGGCTTTTCATTATTTCACCGAACGTGTTCGCACGCTACCGTACCGTTATAATGCGTGCCAATGACAAACGTGTCATCAATTGGTGGCTAAGTTCAGTAACGCCTCACTAACTTAGGCCCTTAGGCCTACAATGGACATAAATATTCTTAAATATATTATGCAAGAGCCAACCATGTTATATTTTATATCTAATCTTATTTGTTTTAAACTTGAAGGATCCATGCGTTTTATAGTATATTATGTTTGTTCATCCACTTACGCCTTACGCAGACGATACAATTTACCAGCATCGCATCATGATAATTGTACCTGTAATGTCCGCACTTCACACGCATCACAAATATTTAAATGTGCAACATCCCCACCTGCCCCAACACAATTAGACAAATCGATGTAAAAAGGAGCAAACACCGTCCTAATAAAATATATAATCAATTATAACAAAACCTAAAACTTAAATCAACAGTTTTGGCTACTACATTTCTGAAACGAAATTAATTATTCACTAATCTGAAATCTTTATAATGCGCACATCACATCACGAGACTGTCACAAATAAACCTTTCCATACATTTATTCATTCATTCATGGATTTTTATTTAGACATTCAAAAACGCAGACGTGTTTGTAACCTATTGTATTTTTGTAAGTGAGAAGTTTATTAAATAAAATAAGAGTAATAAATTTGTTCCTAGGCAATTGCAATAGGACATGTGTTGGTACTTATGGTATAGTCCATTTACATGATAAAGAATAAAACGTTAATACAGTTATCTGAAATTATATTTCAAAAGAATCAAACGTATTTGGCTAAATTTATTCAATAATGATATATTTCTAGTTGATGAAATATGACACCATTTAAAATAAAGGTTAATACAATCAAATTCAGGTACAGTAATAAATTATTTCTAATATTAGAATAAAATGAACAAACTAATGTGAAATGATGACATGCAATTTAAGGTGCACATTTTAAAAGTCCCGTTATTTACAGGAGTGTTATCCCATCTTCTTACTTCAAGGGGTAAAATTCTTAAACAACGTTTTGTTAATATAATTCCATGTTTATAATGATTAATTTTGGTAAGACGAAATAAATTCATTAAAAAAATGCAATAATAACGTAGTCTGGATATTGTTTTCATTTCTTAATGAAACTTTTGTCTTTCGATGTCGGCGAGTCTTAACTTAAAATTGAAAATAAAAGACATTGTGTTCTCCAAATATCACCGAATCCGACAGTAAAGTATACGTTTATAACAACCAGCATAGTTCATTCCTTTACGTAACTGAACTGATCTGTTGACGAATATTACTGGTTAGTAGAGAGATCCTGTAAAACAGTTTTTTTTTTATCACACTGCATGAAGGAATTACAAAAAGACACTATGCAAAAAGTTAAAATGTTCTGCGCACAATAGGCTTGTAAAACAATGAAATAATATGACCATTAATATTAAAAGCACGTAGTGTAGTTTCCTCAGGAAAATCATTCCTTTTCTTAGTTTACCGTAATATACCAATATTCACTTTTGAGATAAGTTTAGATAAGAACATTTCAAGGTTTATATCTTTTTATACGATGCATTTTAATTTACATTTGAAGTCTGGCTACCAACTTCCTTTGGTTGGTGCCAAATATTACTTCCTACTAGAAATTGGCTACTACATTTATTACTACTTCGAACATTTTTTGTCAAACACAACCATACACGAGTAGCTTAAACTTGTATTACTTAATATAGCCTGTAAAGAAGACCTTTCAGAATTAATACCGTACCGTATATTGGAATAATTTCCTAGTATAGGATACACTAGGCCTATTCGTTGAAGTTACTTCAACTTTAACTCTTTATTCCTGTATTTTTGTTTGAACATAGAGCAAAGAATCTGTTTCTTTGCTCTATGTCTAGACCAATTCCTTACTAACGCTTTGTCCAAATCCACTCGAGACAACTTAAACAAAAATGAACGCAAAGCTATCAAGGACTTAAAAAACAATTCGGACATTGTTATTAAGGCTGCTGATAAAGACGGCTTAATTGTTATACTTGACAAAGATGATTACATAAAAGATGCAGAAAATCAGCTGAATAATCCTAATTTTTACAATATTTTGCCTACCGATCCTACTAATGATTATCATAATGATTTACTTGATTTAATGTCTAAACTCGATCATGTTGATGTTACTTTTAATGATTTCATCCCACAGGAACCTAAACCCGGCATTTTTTACACTATCCCCAAGCTACACAAATTAGGTTCTCTTGTTAGCAAGGCCTTGAGGCTCTCATCCCGCTCGCTTCTCTCTCACCATCTTAAAATCCCCCCTCATCTTCGCTATTGCCAAGTCGTTATCTATAACCCCTCCTGGTAGACCCATTGTCTCTTGCCGTGGTACACTCACTGAATTTTTGTCTGGATATATTGATTCTATTCTCAACCCCCCTACTCTGCAATATCCCCAGCTATATTCAAGATACCACCCACTTCCTCAGAAAACTCGAATCTATTTCCACTCTCCCCCAAGATGCTATACTTGTTACTATGGATGTGTCATCAC